TTTTTCAAAATGTTTTCACATTTCGAAATTTGGATTTTCAACGGGAAAGGGGATTTTTCAATTTGGCAACAAAAGATGAAGGGTATTTTGGTCCAACAGTTTCAAAAGCCATTGATGGCAAATTTTTCGAAAATTTTACAGAAGTACAAAAAGAAGAATATGATGAACTTGCATACACTTCTATCATTTTACACCTATCTGACACTGTTTTGAGAAAAGTTGGAAAACTCGATTCTACTAAAGAACTTTGAAAAAAGTTGGAGGATTTATATTTGCTTAAATCTACTCCAAATAAGTTGTACTTACTTAAAAGATTTTTTAACTTTAAAATGGATCATTCAAAGGATCTTGATGACAATTTGGATATTTTTAACAAGTTGGTTTAAGACATCGTTATCTGTAATGAGAAGGTGTCTGAAACTTATAAGGCCATTCTTTTGCTTAATTCTATGCCTGAGTCATATAGTGAGGTTAAGAATGCGATTAAGTATGATAGGGACACTTTAACCTCTGAGATTGTCATCGATTCCCTTAGGAGTAAGGAAATGGAGATTAAGACTGAAAAAGAAGATAAGCAAACTGGTAAGTTGCATATGATGAGAAGTAGAATGAAGTTTAAGCAAATGAATTTGGGTAGAGCTCAAGATAACAGTGATTCGAGTAGTTACTCGAGTGATAATGGTGGTAAGAAGAAGGGCAAGAGTTGGGACAAGTCCGGTGGTAGAAGATGTTACAGTTGTGGTAAGTCTGGACACTTCATTAGGGATTGTCCTAAGAAGAAGGGTAAGATGAGAGGCGAAACGAATCTGGTTTTAGGGTCGAGTGATGACCCCAGTGAACCCATTGAGGGTTACCCTAGTTACTGCATTTGCATCCGTGTGTAATCCTTTTCTGCATGTGTGTGATTACTTAATTCAGTTGCATGATTAGATGTTGCATTTCAATGTGTTTGATATGTGAATTGGCATGGATTGGAGTGATTTATTACTTTGTGTAATGTGTTTGCATGCATAGTGGGTTTGGAATGCATTAGCAGTGTGTGAGTATGTCTTTTGGTAAGGTGGGGTATAGATGCCTAGGGGTACATTACGATTTGTACCGTGGATGTGGAGTGTGACATTTGGATCACGGTGGAGAGGTGATTAAATGTCTGGGATCCTTTTATCGGTAAGAGACCCTGATCAGGTGGAGTGCGAGTGAGACACTTCTATCACTTCTATTAGGTGAAGACCCATTATCCATTTAGATTGGAGAAGTGATGTGGTGATAGATGATTATCTCGAGAACTTAGGATCTATAGAGACTTGCCAATTAGACATGGTTTGAGTGATTCGTCTAGTGAGCAGGTGGGCGATGAGGTGAGATATGTGTTCTCGAGGTGCGAGCAACACGAAATGGGATAGGATAAGTGTGGTGTGATCTTCTTCGTGAGGTCATTTATGCATTTGTTGTGTATGTGTTGGCATGTTGATTGGCTTGGTGTTGATCTGTTGTTCTGTGTGAACATAGTTGAAAATATATGTGTTATCATATATGATATCTCCATCGCATATTTATTTGCTCTTGATTGATTATTGTGATTACTTGCTTCTACTTGGGTGTTCTTGATCTTAGCCCTGGTGAGTACATGAAGCATGTATGGTATGTGTTTCGGGTTCAAAACACGAGGTAAGGTTTGTGATACTAATTTTATTGGTTACCTTGATTGTGCGAGTATGAAGTTTGTGTTTTATTTGCTTGCAGACTCATTGGGAATCAAGGTGGAGATTTGTTAGGTTTTTTGATACCCAATAAATCTGGGCGACGATTTAAAACAGTTGACGGAATTTTATCGACACCATAGACTTGGCTCGACTCGAATACTACCGACACTTTTGGAAGGCCCAAGTTGGAGATGGATTGATAGTTTGATTAGTATGGGGTTTTGGTTTATTATTGGCCCATTTATTGGTATTAAGTTGGCCCATGTCTTTTAGCCCAATTCTTGTGACCTAATCCATTATACATATACCCAACTCTTGTCTAATTCAAGTCGTGTGGTGCATGTGTGAGAAGAGAAGATGGCAGCCGATTTCTTGGTGACTTTTGTGGAGCCATTGTTTCCTTTTTCTTCTTCCTTCCTTTGTGGTTATTTGCATCCACCATTACTAATCCTTTGTGGGTTAGTAAGAAGAGAGAATCTTGGAGCAACCAAGTAGAGGAAAGTATTTAGGAAGAGCTTGAGGCCGTGTGGTGTTGATTGTGTTTTTCTGAGCCCAGAATAGAGTTGATTGGAGGCCCCCAAAATCTAACACTAGTCCAAGTGAACCTTGTTCCATTATAGCACAAGGCAATAGTTTTGTGCTTTTTCATGTAAGAATTATGTTGTTACCTTTGAAGTTGATTTTTTACTCAAAGAGCAAGTTTCTTGTGTTATTTGATCTCAGTAAAATATGTGAAAAGGACAGGGATATGTCAAAAACTAATATGGCATTATAGTAGTGACTAATACTAGTTGTTTTGAATATTCAAGTAGATAGCAATTGTTCAAAAGTTAATTTCAGAAACCTTTTTTAGAACAATAAAATGGAGTAATTTAGAATGCTTATTGAACAATCGAGACTCGAGATAGTAAGATGTTCTAAAGTAAAATTGTTCGTAGTTAATTGCTGCGACCTCTTTGGACAATCACTCTAGAATACAATAATCAAAACACTTGTTAAGCAATAACAAGTGACTTCTAGAACTATGAGATTTTACTCCAGGAAAATACATTAACAAAATAATTTTGAGGATAAAGTACGGAAGATGAAATGATTTCTATGTAATTTGTTCATGAAAAAGTAGCTGATATATAGCTCACAAATTATAAATTTTACTAATAATTCATAATTCAATAATAAAAAAAACTATGGATTTTATTATGTGGTAATTACATAAAACCATACTTTAAGTTTTTAAACTTCTAAAATCAGATTGGAAGTTTAATATTTCCAAAATCAGATATTTTATTTTTAAATATTAAATATTAAATATATTTTTTTTATCCAAAACCCTAATTATATCATTTTCATCATTCAACCATTCTCTCTCCTTTCTTATTGTAACCGCCGCTGCGCCTCATCCTCTCTCCCCTTCTACTTCGGCGAACATCCACCACCACACTGCCGGAGACTGTCGCCATCACATCTTCCTTCTCTCTCTCTCTCGCCATCACACCGCCGGAGACCGTCGCCATCACAGCTCCCTAATTCGCAGTAGCGTCGCGACGCTGTTGCAGGCGTCGCAGCGGCGTAGCGATGCTGCTGATGTGACGCCGGCAGTAGCGTCGAGATGCTGCCTTGGTTTTTGTCACCTTCAATTTTTGATTTCGTTCAGTTTCGACTCTCTCCTCCTCCGGATAGCATCGTTTGAGTGTGAATTTCATTTCCCCCATGTGAATTTGTGATTTTAATGGTATTTGGATGGTGGTACGGTAGTTGGTGGTGGTTTGACGGTGAGGTGGTGCCGGCTTGCAGGCAGCTGAGGCGGTGTTTTTTTTTTTTAATGGTGGTGGTGCGATGCAGGCGATGGTTCGGTGGTTGTGGTTTGTAACCTGGACTGTGATTCTTGACTTATGACCTGAGCTGCGACTTGTGATATGGGCTATGACTTTTGACTTGTGACCTGATCTGTGACTTGTGACATATGATGTGACTTGTGACCTGGATTGTGACCCTAAGAAAACCATGTCAACCGTACAAAAAAATATAGCGGAGTTGTCGCCGGAATATTCACCGAAGTTGGAACAACTGCCGGATCGGAGTAGTCGCAGGAAAAAAAGGACACCAGAACGGTCGTCGGAATAGTTGCCGGAACGGTCGTCGGAATCGGAGCAGTCATCGGAACGGTCATCGGAAAGCTCGCCGAGGTAGGGCGGTGATCGGAACGGTCCCCGGAGTGGTAGGGGTTGTGAAGGTGGGATGTGTTAAGTATATTATATTAGAATTAAATATTTAATAATAAATTAATTTATTTCATAAATAAAAATTTAAAAAATTTTAATAAAAATCTGATTTTGAAAATTTCAAACTTATTTTCTTATTTTTGAAATAGCCTAAACTTATTCTTTCGAATATGTAATCTTCCATTTTATTATTCCAATAGATCTCCCAATAAATACCTCCAACGTGTTTCTTTTACCGGCTAATTTTTACTTGCTAATTTGGCATAAATATGAAAACAATTATGATAAATAATAATATAAATTTTTATTTTAATCAAATAAGTCCAATAGAACTAAATGAACGCTAATCAGACACTGTAAAAATTTGAAGATCCATAATTTAAACTTACATGATCATCAACATTAATCAGACCATGTATGTCATACCAACTTCAATAATATCCATGTGAGGAACCCTCATCGTTGCAGCGCCTCGTCTGCAGTTCTTCCTCAAGAACGCATAGAAGTAATTTATCGTCAGCTTCTTGAGAAACCACGAGTTTTTCTTGGCCCTGACATCGCCATGACCGAGCAGGTAAGTAAATCCCGAGGCAGTAGCTTCTCGAAGAGCAGAGATTTCATACTCGAGACTTGGATCTTCGTCTGCTGACATGACACTAGGTGGCAATGCAGATGTTCCTGCTTCATCCGATACTTGATCAAGCATCAGTGGGATCGTAAGCTCCCTGGTCGAGTCATGAGCCCAGACATGAAGATCTCTAGATCTTGCAGAAATGTCGTCAAACTTCGATTCATTCTGATTACTCTCTAGAGCAAGATCCAGAGCCTCTTTTCTTAAAAATTTTTCAAGGCTTTCCACCAAAAGTTGTTCAAATGCATGATGATCTTCTTTCCTAACATCCTTGTACCCATATCGAGCAATGCAACGAAATATATGGTAGTCTTTTGGGCAAACCCTTCGAAAAAGAAACCTTTCTTCTTGAGGGACGAATGGTATTGGGACGTGTTTGATACAAACAAAGACTACAGTAGAGTGAATAGCGGGAAGATCCAATAGAAAGTGCCCGAATATGGACGGTACACCTTGGACAAGCTCATTGTACAGCAATCCAATTCCCGGGACTCGTACTGTTCCAAGAGTCGGACCAAGCTCAAGCATGAAGTCCGTCGAGATTTTTCCACGAAGCTCACTGTGGTACTTCAACACACTTCCATAGTTCCACACATACATTACACACAGAAAAAAAGAAGCAAAAGCTAGTGGTAGCCAACCTCCCTCTGTGATCTTGGATAAAACGGCAGACAAGTAAATTAGCTCTATTGTTCCATATACGAGTGGAAAGCAGATAGCCAAAAATAAGTTAGTTTGCCATATCAGGAGCATAACAAGTGTCACCAGGGTCGTGCTGACAATCATTACACCAACCTCAGCTATGCCTGCAGAGACAAGGTAACTTCCATCATTACTTTTTCAATTTCCTAGCATAAATAAAAAAATCTTTGGTTCATTGCCAGCCTTTCAGAGAAGGAATTTTGGACTCCCAAGTAGGTGACAAGTTCAAAGATCATCATCCAAAATTTGATACGGTTCTTGCCGACAATCATATGGGCAGGGGCATTTAACAGCTAGAAAAAGCCTGGGCTGTGGCTAAGGAAATACTAACCATATGCATTGGCTATATCTGTGGTACTCCTAAAGGCTGCAACCACGATAATGCACATGATCATCAAAAACCAATTGATGACAGGAACGTAAATTTGACCCATCCGTCTTTTTGAAGTGTGAACTATTTTCAGCCTTGGGAAGCACTCGAGAGCCATAGCTTGTTTGACACACGAAAACGAAGCAGATATCATGGCCTGACTAGCAATGACAGCAGCAACCGTGGCTATCACAAATACTGGCCAGAAAAGATGAACTGTTGCATTCACAAATATATCAGAATAATCCATCATATGATAAAGGACTATTTTCCATTTTGATAACAGAAGAAAGGCAATGTGCTTTGGATTAAGCCTAATCCCTATTTCCAAGAGCAATTATAAACAAAAAAGCAGTTAGAAAATGAGCAAAGGAGACACTAATCTATAGTGGTTCGCACTAAGTTTTCACTATAATGGAGAAGAAGATTACAGAGTTTTCACAAGCCACTGAATCTAAATTTCCTACTAAAAATGTGCCCCTGGCAAGTCCTTTACACAGTAAGCATATGAATGAGGCCTAATGTAGATTATTGTCCTCCAATTCATCCAAAAACCGAGCTCAGCAAACCACCAAATCAACACCACAACGACAACCAAACTCCAAACTAAAACCACCACCACTTGGTTGCTTCCAAGGTGCCACAAAGGCTGAGTGTGAGTGATGTTTTGGTAGCCCAAACTAGCCACAAAGGCTAAGAGAAGAGGAAGATAAGGTAGCACAAAGCAAGAAACTCTCTTTTCTCTCCCAATTCTCACGGCTCCAACATTCACACTAGGGCAAAACACAAGAAAACCGTCCCACTTATAAGCATAAGGTAAGTGGGCTTTAAAGTCAAACACAAGAGGCCCAATAGATAACAACAAGTGGGCTTTCAACCCTAAAGCCATCCAAAGTAATGGACCGGTCCATGAGCAACACTAATGAGATTAGGCAACTTCAAATGACCCATTTAGGTTGTCGGAGTGGTTCGTTCATTGTGGTATCGACATTTCACTTCAATCATCGGCCGAGGCCTATGAAGTCTAATCCAAACTATAAAACCGGTTTAACATTATCGCCCGAATTTATTGGGTATCAAAACCCAACATATTTGCACCTTGATCCCAATAAATTTGCAAGCAACCAAACAGTTTATACTCGCACGATCAAGGTAACCAATAAAATTGGTATCACAGACCTTACCTCGTGTTTCGAACCCGAAACACATACCATACCTGCTTCATATACTCACCAGGGCTAAGATCA